ATATCTTTGTTTGTGTATTATTTTTGCCGCCTACCGTAGTTCAGTCTTCCTTTATCTGGTGTGAGCTGCTAGTTTTAGACGATGCTTAAAGCTGCTGGGCTCCTCAGCCTGTGGCGTCATCACGGATGTGTTAGGATGCAACACCATCAACCCAGAATGACTTGGTGCAGCGTTTAGAGAATCACAAAACACCAAAACCTCCAACGTAGATTTTACAATTCTTGGTTAAATGGAAATGTTCATGAATAGAAAGCCTAAGAATGAGGAGAAGACCACTTAACCCTGGGAAAAAATGGCTGCTCGCGTGTCATTCGAACAGAGTTCAAGAGTAGAGACCTTTGGGCCCAAAAAACATATTAGTTGTATAATTTTACAAATATGTACTTGTCCTCAGTTGTCATTATCAGTTTCGTTTGATCATTCCTCTTTCCTCCAGGACAACTACTATCGTCCTGAGGGCGAGGACACCTGCCACCCCTGTGACTGTTTCCCCATCGGCTCCGAGTCCCGAACCTGCGACCCGGTCACCGGCCAGTGCCCCTGCAAGGGAGGCGTCATCGGCCGACAGTGCAACCGCTGCGACAACCCCTTTGCTGAAGTGACACCCACTGGATGTGAAGGTAGGTGAATGTTTTATTCTTTTTTTAACCTAATAGTAAACAGAAAACATCAGGTCTGGCTCTTCAAATTGAATCCGTGAGCAGCACGAGATGTTGGTGGTTCACAAAGTTGGCCTGGATGAATCACTGAAGTGTCCCGAAGGAAACAAACGCTGCCACTCACATCCGCCAGTGCCGCAGTGGAGCTAACTTTGCGTCTTTGTCACCAAGCAGTGAAGCAGAAGAGGCAAGTCTGGCCATTGGGCTGACTTGGCAGCAGCACTGCACACACAATACAGTACAGATGAAAGGAAAACAAAAAGCAAATGTCACAGTCTGACCTAACATGAAGCTTTTCAGAGCTGGTGGAACATGCTCAGACTTTTAACACAGGCTGTGGTTCTCTTTTTAAAAGTTACAAGATTCTGATCTAGTGATGATAATAATGTTTGTTTTCTCCTGTACTGGCTGTGTGTCTGAGGTGTGACCACCCTTGACTTGCCAAACACCGATCTGTTATCTGTACTTGTAACGCAGCATCAGGGCCCCTTGCTGTCAGGGTTACTGCAGCGTTCACTCATAACAAACTGTTTCTTGACAGGAAGCAGAGATTCAAATCTGAGCATCCCACATTATATGCGGTTCGGAAAGTGCTCAACCTCTTTCAAATTTTGTGTTATAACCACAAATCCTAAAGTCAGTGTGGCCAACAAACTTCCACATTCCAAACATCTTTTGTTCTTAACCCAGATTTGATGGAACATGTCATCATGTATCAGAGTTTACCTAAAAGTCTGTAAGGATTAGTTTAGTGTGTCCGTCCATCTGTTACAAAACGGACTCACCATGTCAGGAAATGTCTTTGAAAAAATATACGTAGCTCAACATTGTGAACATTGGTCGTGGTTTAAATAAATTGCGTTTTCTTTGCAGTTGTGTACGAAGGGTGCCCAAAGGCGTTTGACGCTGGCATTTGGTGGCCAAAGACCAAATTTGGACGCCCTGCTACCATGGAGTGCCCCAAAGGATCCAGCGGTGTGTAACTTAATAACCCGTTTTCAAAGTGTTAATTCAGAATGCTACAAAAGCAAGATGTTAAACAATGTAATAATATATTAATTCTTAGTTATAGTGTTTTATATATCAGACTTGAGAAGTGCCTCAAAACTTCATAACCTTGACAGAGGCTATATAAATATAAATGAATCACAGCTACCTCAAAGTCAAGGCTTCAGTTTATCTTGTGTCAGTTAAATCGTGTGTGCAGCTGTTCTTTTGTTAGTCTTTTTAAGGCATGTAAGCACACCTACACGATATACAAAACACAGTAATTAGGATCTTTTATTAATCCGTTAATCCAGCAGAGCTTTCACGCCAGGGAGTCATGTACAGGTTTGCTGCTTAAGACTCCTGGAAAAACACCAGGTACTCCAGAATTAATGGTGTACCGTTTGCCTCACTGTTGTTCACTGTTATGTCTTCTCAACATTTGAACAACTCCTATATATTTAAACTCAATATAAATGAAAGTTGAGCTTCTTGAGGTTTTTTATCTGTATTTATTTTATTATTTTTAGGTACTGCAATTCGCCACTGCAGCGATGAGAAAGGCTGGTTGTCTCCTGAACTTTTCAACTGCACAACAGCAACTTTCTCAAATTTGAAGAAAATGGTGAGTGCTGCTCCGAGATGAAACAAAAGTTTAAGACGAACATTTTTGGATGTATTTTACGCCCCTATTTTCCCAGAATGAGGAGCTGCGCCGCAACAGCTCCCGGATGAACAGCGAACAGTCCAAGGCCATCGTGCGCCTGCTTCACAGCGCCACAAACAGGAAGTCGGGCTTCTACGGCAACGACGTCAAGACGGCTTCCCAGCTGCTGAACCACGTGCTGGAGTACGAGAGCCAGCAGTCTGGCTTCGATCTGACCGCCATGAAGGACGCAGAGTTCAACGAGGTGCAAAACAAGAGAGTCTTCTTGTTTTGTTGTCGTCTATATAGCCTTCTGTTAAACATTTATGTCTTTCTGGGCGAAACCTTTTCGACCAATCAAAACGCAAGGAAATCTTACGTGGTTCTGGTACAGCATTTGTGTCAAACTCGAGGGCCGTAACTCTTTATAAGGCAAAACTAAACTCCAGACACATAAATACAATCTTGAAGACAACAGTAGTATGCTTAAATATTCTTTCATCAATCAAATCAAAGCATTTTTGTGCTTCTAAATTAATTCAATGTGAAAAGATGCTCTACTGCATCAAGTTTAAAAAGTACTCATCAAATGCAGAGATCTATTTATTCAGATTTGAGGAGTTTAGAACACATTCCACATTGACTGTATATGTGTGCAAGTGCTGCTAGAAAAGTTCTTCAATGCGCCTGTGTCAGATTGTGTTTCCCCCTTTCTATTGTCACCCTGGGTAACTGCCCATTTAGCCAGTCTCCAACTCCAATTTTTAGGCAAGTTGCTGTTTCCTTGCAGCCTTTTCCCGAGTCATGGAGCTACACACATATCAATCTCACTTGAATGTCCAACTCCATCTTATTTCTTTTCTCTTTTGTTTTTGGTTTTGTTCAGAACTTGGTGCGAGCTGGCAGTGCCATTCTGGACCCTGGCACCAAAGACCACTGGGAGCAAATCCAGAGGACAGAAGGCGGCACCGCACACCTGCTTCGCAACTTTGAGGACTATGCTAACACGTTGGCCCAAAACGTCAGAAAAACCTACCTCAAACCCTTCACCATTGTCACTGAAAACATGAGTGAGTGCTGGAATTGTGTTAAAATTGTACACACACGTGCCATATTTTCTTACACTTGGCTTATTTTCCTATCCGTTTTCTGTCCCAAAGTCCTAACTGTGGACTACTTGGATGTGTCAGACCCAGAGAAGGCAACCTTACCTCGCTTTAAGGACATCCAAGAGTCCTACCCCAGAGAACTCGGCTCTTCTGTCCACTTTCCACTTTTTAACTTGCGAGATCGTGTCCGCAAAGGTAGTTGTGTTGTCTAAATCAGAACTGTTCCTCCACTTTTATTTTAATTCTGATCTTTCAGCCCTCTTTTTTCGCACGCAGAGGATCCAACTCCAGAACCTCCAACCCTGTCCGATGGTCCCAAGGAAGAGGAGCGCACAGTGTCTGACAGGAAACGCCGCCACCTTGAGCCGCCTGCACCTAAGCCGGTTGCCGTGGTCATAGTGTACAAGTCGCTGGGCCAGCTCCTCCCGGAAAGATACGACTCTGACAGGAGGATTCTGAGGTACAGTTTGTAAGAGTTATCTAGAACACAATGTCAAAGAAAAGATTCAACTCTGTCTGAAAAGAGGATTCATGGTAAACCAAAGATCTCAAATTATCTCCTGATAGAAAATAATTGCATAGATGGAATTTTAAACGTTGCATGGTGATTAGCATAGCTAGCCGTACTAAATCATCCTTCTCCTTGTGTATTAGTTAAGAATTAGCTCAATTCTGAAGTTACCACAATTGTTGCCAACAATTTTCGAATGCAAAGAGGTTAAAAAAGCAACTTTCTGCATTAGGCCTTTCTGTTGTGTACTGAAGCTACATCTAATTTTACAAATGTTTCCAAAATAGCTACAAAAGACAGACATTCTGTTTTTTCACAACAAACATTACGGAAATACCTTCAGAACTCAGTAACAACATCCATACCAAAGAATGTTGTTAGCATGACCTGGTGCTGCTTGGGGCATTTACTGACAGGTTTTGAGTTTTGATCACTCGCCAATACCTCAATGCACACCGACCACAACAGTAGTAGTATTTGTCCAAAGAAGGAAAAAAACAGCAAAAACATTCAGTATTTCAATAATAATTGTAACTATGCCGTTCCTTTAAGGCTCCCCAATCGTCCAGTGATCAACACAGCAATAGTGAGCGCCACTGTCCACAGCGAGGGTCCACCCCTTCCTCCCGTCCTGGACCCTCCCATTACCTTGGAGTACACTCTACTGGAGACAGAGGAGCGCACAAAACCTGTCTGCGTTTTCTGGGACCACTCCTCCTCGTGAGTTACACACACATTACTGCTCTCATGGCTGAAATGTTCCAAAGCGTTTTCACATGAAATCTGTTCATCAATACCTTCAGGAACGGAAACAAAGGCGGCTGGTCCTCCAGAGGCTGCGAAGTGCTCAACAGGAACAACAGCCACATCAGCTGCCAGTGCAACCACATGACCAGCTTTGCTGTGCTGATGGACATTTCGAAGAGAGAGGTAGATTCACCAAGTTCCATTGCTGCCATGCAGCTCGACCCGTGTCTACAGCTTGGCCTGACGTCTTTGAATTCTCCAACGCAGCACGGGGACGTCCTCCCGCTGAAGATCGTCACCTACGCCACGGTGTCCGTCTCGCTGTTCCTCCTCCTCCTCACCTTCATCCTGCTGTGCCTCCTGCACCGGCTGCGCTCCAACCTGCACGCCATCCACAGGAACCTGGTGGCGACGCTCTTTTTCTGCGAGCTGGTCTTCCTGCTCGGTATCAATCAGACGGACAACATGGTCAGTCAAGTTTCGTTCACTTTGTTGCCTTCAGGCAACAAAGTCTGAAGGTTCTCGGACTTTGTTGCCTTATAACTGCCATTGTCAATGGATTTATTGGGATATGATGTGAAATTGTGCGTGTTTGTGAATGCGAATTATACTATTTAGGCAACCTCTGACTGTCATTCCACATATTGACTTAAGGGCATAATTTATTATCTATTCACACACACATCTTTGCACAGCAGAGCATTAAGGAGGTGCCTTTCTAGTCAAGCACATACATACAGACCAGTGGGTGTGGGCATGCTGGTGCCTGTCTGCAAAAGGCTTTAGGGTGGTAGGTCCAGGCAAAGATTTTCCAAAAAATCTTTTTGGTTTTAACTGGGTACATCTTTTGCATGTCTACAGTGCGGAAATACAAATATTGAGTCATTCTGGTGTTAAATGCAAGCAGTTGTGTGGTGAAAAAGTCTGGGTTTGCATCAAACATCAAAGGACAGGTTTAAAGAAATAATGTGCGTTGCTGTCCACACTTGTGTGGGAGAATCTAGGCAACTTCATAGTTCATACATAGTGTTTGAATTATCTTCTTAATTCCTTTCTTCAGGATTTCTGTTGATCCATTTCTGTGTTGATTTGACCAAATGTTTCAAATTGTCACCCTGCATACAGATCCCATGATATATCATTTTCAGTTTTCTGGTAGAACCTGCAAGATTTTCTTTAAATCTTCTTATATTTCAAAGACTTCACAAGGCCACACCTCTAACAAAGTTTCTAGTCCCACATTGTCACAGATCCTCCACAATATTCAACAGTAGGTATGAGGAGATTTCCCATACAATTATTCTTCATGCTCGAGGTTGATGTTGAAACCCACAATCAAAGTGTACATGCAAAACTTAGGACATTTATGTCTTTGATTGCAGGACAAATGAGTCATTTCTTGGCAGTTAGTTTGCAAATATAGAAGAAATTTCCAGACACACATTTTCAGTCTGAAAGCAGGATTTCATGTCTTTTGTTCTCAAAACTTTTAGTACTTTTGCTTATATTTTTATTTTGGAAGCAGGACTTCATGTCTTTTTTCCCAAAACTTGTAATGATTGTACTCAAAATTTACAGATAGATATAATGTTGTGACAGTCTTATCTTTGGTTGGGTGAACAAACTGCTGTCTAAGGCCTGTAGCTGTTAGCGATCAGTAGCACACTGCTGGCGGATGTTTAGAGTACTACGGAGTAGGAAGCTGATGTTGTCGTTTCTCCCTACATCCAATGGGTGACACAGGTTGCTACAGTTGTTAGCAGCCATACAGGCACACCCGCTAGAAGGAAACAAACGCACTCAGTACACTTTCATTCTGTTGGCTGAGAGGTTGCCAGGTGACTGTGCCAAAAGGGACTTTCAAAAGCGAGCAGAGAGTCCGAGCAGAGACTAAGTGTGAGCACGAGAAGTTCTGAAAAATGGCTTGTAAAAAATTTCAAGAAACTCTGATCTACTTTTAAAAAAAAGTAAAAGATAAGTTTTCTTTTAACCCACCTGCTACAGTGAAACAAACCTGTCTGCTTTGGCTAGTCTGGCTAAATCAAGTGCCTAAAATTTTATTATTTGGTGTAATATTTAATCCTTTGTCATAGGTTACCATTTCAAACAAGTCAGGTATTTCCAATGACATCAACAATTGCCAAAACATGGACAATATTTGCCAATATGAGAAATATCATTCTGAATAGTAAAATATGCTCTTCTTATATGATGATTATTCTGACTGATTTTTTTATTCTTTGGCTAGCACTTTCAGCTCGAGAAGCCATAAAGCTTATCCACCTCTGCAGACTAATGCAGCAGGATCAACAATTACACATATAGTTAAAGCCACCGGATTAACTAAACACATAATTCTTTTCTGAAATTCCCCCACTGTTTTTGTTTTGTTTTGACAGGTTTTTGAGTTTACATCTTATCTCCACCATTTTGGCAAACTTTAACCTCTTCATTTTCCACATTTAGTGGAAGTCATGCATTTTGTGCATGAACACACAGATCTGACCATTGGAATGCTGTCAGTTCGTACCTGAGGCTGTGTGCTGTAAAATTTATAAATCTGTCAGAGCAGCTTTTTTCTTTCTTTCTTTCTGATCTCTGCACTCTCTTCTAGCTAAACTCACGCTTGGATATTCACTAACATACCGCATTCCTGTAACGTGGCAACAGATGATTAAGTTGGGCGTAAATATAAAAACGAAATGGAGAGATAACCTAGTTGTAAAGGAGCAAATCCAAATCATTTTAGAGGTATTTTGAATCCTATTGGATCCAATTTGGTGAGATGTCATAGGCTGGAATTAGGATTTGGAAGTTATTAAGATGGAATATTACAAAGTTGTTGCAAAGATTGAAGAATGTCTTTACTAACTCTCCATTTCTGTTTGTTTTTTTATTTTCTGCCTGACCCCTTCTCCTGCCAGTTTGTGTGTACGGTGATAGCCATCCTCCTCCACTATTTCTACATGTGCACGTTCGCCTGGATGTTTGTGGAGGGACTGCACATCTACCGCATGCTGACCGAGCTGCGGAACATCAACCACGGCCGCATGAGGTTCTACTACGCCATCGGCTGGGGCATCCCGGCGATCATCACCGGTGAGAAACGCAATCTGAAACGAGGCCGATGGCAGCGTTTGGAGACGACGCCCTCGACAATTACTAGCTTCAATCGTAAAGATGTGTAGAAAGCCTGGAATAAGCAATCATTTCTTTGCTTATTCCAGTAGCACAATAAATCTTTCCTCTGCAATCTTCCTTCTTTTGCTGTTCGTTGAAATCGTGCACACTTTATTTTAACTGCGTGTTCTCCTAATATAACAAAGCACTTAACAAAATGATATTAGTACTAGCTAAAAGTTTTGTCAGTTGAGTCATCAGTTTAGCTCATTTTTTGTTGATTCATTGTTAGAATAACGGTTTGTGCAACTCACTGTAAATCTAAATCTCAGAACAATTCACCGAGAGCAATACCTGAAGGACAACTTTACTAACATTTTGATGTTTGAAAAAGGATTCATTTGTCTGCGTGTGTGTGTGTGTGTAGGTTTGGCGGTTGGCCTCGATCCTCAGGGTTATGGGAATCCAGATTTCTGCTGGCTCTCTGTACACGACACGCTCATCTGGAGCTTCGCAGGACCCATCTTTGTGGTTGTTCTCGTATGTCCGCATCATCTCGCAGTTTTATCACGATAATGGCCTATTTTATCGCACAATGCACAGCAGATTTTCCTGTTTGTTTTTAAGCTAAACCAAAAGATCAGCATCACCAGAGAATGTTTTTTATTTCCCTTCCCTTGTTGGGGTTATTGAACAAGGCTCCCTCAAAATGCACCCAGAATGTACATCAACACATTAAATTAAAAAAAAAAATTAACTGTTCTTTTTTTCTCTTTCTCGCTATTATTAAAGGTGAACATAGTGATCTTCATTTTAGCGGCGAAGGCTTCCTGTGGTCGCAGGCAGAAGGTTGTGGAGAAGTCAGGAGCTATGTAAGTGTCTCAGTGACATTACCCACATACCATAACATGCAGTCTTTCTTACTCTACTATTTACTGATTTCAACTCAGTCCTGCGCTGCGTATGGCCTTCCTCCTCCTGCTGCTCATCAGCGCCACCTGGCTGCTGGGTCTCATGGCGGTCAACAGCGACGTAATGACTTTCCACTACCTGTTTGCCATCTTCAGCTGCTTGCAGGTAAAAACCCCGGTGGCGCCTTAGTCCAAAACGAATAAACATGTTCTTATTTAAAATTCATCTTCATGGTTAGCGACTCCCTTTTATCATAGCAATGTTGTGCGTTCCCTACAGGGAGTCTTCATCTTCTTCTTCCACGTGATCTTCAACAAAGAGGCGAGAAAAAACCTCAAGAACGTCTTTACGGGTAAAAAGACGGTACAGGACGACTCCAGCACCACGAGGGCCTCCTTACTCACTGTAAGTGGATTTATTATTGTTAAAAAATCCTGTAGAAACAGCAACAAACTCCCCCAAAAATCGTAAAAATAAATTTACTTTTGTTGTCTCTTCTCAGCGGTCTCTGAACTGCAACACATACGTAGAAGACGGGCTGCTGTACCGCACAGCCATCGGCGAGTCCAACGTGTCCCTGGACAGTACGCTCAGGTCAGCCAAGAGCCGCAGCAGCAGCTACCTGGCTTACGCACTCAGGTACACGCCCACTGACTGCATGGCTGCTTTCACCTGCATGAGCACTGCTGGGTTTTTTTTTGTTTTTTTTCTCTCTATTCCAGTTTTTGACAAAGCGTTCAATGTCTCACACTTACTAACGCACACTAAGTCCTTCACAGTACACCTGCTATGCAGGCAGTTTGTCATTTATTCATGATTACCTGCTTTATCCATACTTCTATTTAGTCATATTGTTCTTATTATTGAAGGTTTCTCTCTTTGTTTTTCCTGTTTCTCTCACATTTATGGTGTTCTATAATGACACCTGCGTTGAATGACCATGCTGAGATTTGCTATTGCATGGCTTGTGGCTTATTTCATTTTCACATGCAAAGGACAGAATTTCCAAGAAAAAATATTTGGCAAAAAATAAAAAAAAGACACACATACACACACACGCACACACACACACACAACTGTGTCTAGTTACTATTTTTGTAAATTATTGCCATTTGTATTGTCTGATACAAAAAAAAATTTAACTTTAACTTGTCGCCAACTTTTATTAGGCAATAAAATTTTCAATGTTTTTTTGACAGTAAATCCAGTGCTTCCCTTTTTGGTGATGTCAACTCGAGCATTTGTTTTATCTACTTCTTTTTTCACTGAAATATTTATTAAAAAATAACATTGGTTCCAAGTCACTTTAGCAAATAAATTGACGTTGTTTCTCACATTGCCGACATGGGCTAAACGGACGGTGAGGAGAAGAATTCATTACAGCAAAAGCAGCATAAAGAAAAAAATATCTATATTTAAAAAAAAAAACTAATTAATGGAGCACAGCCAGAAAGATTTTACATTTTGCAGGCATGGCAATAATGACCATATCAATCTCAATGAGATCAATAAATGTGTAAGAAAAAATTAACAGATTTAATAATTCTCGCCTTACAACCACTACTGAGGAAAGATTGCTGCATAATATGAATAACTGCATATGAGCTTGTAATTCACTATGCCTGTTTTTGTTTTGGAAAATGCACCAAAGTACAAAAACAAACTACTTATTTCCAAGAGATACAGTTATGTTTAAATAATAAATGATTGGCTGTAAATGAGACACTTTCAAATGGTGATTTTTATTGCTGCTCCAATTAAGAATCAACTTATACTTTTGGAATGGGACAAAAAGTGAAGCAGGGATAGCAGAAATGGACTGTACCTTTGTAGGTGGGAGTGTAATGCAGATATTTCAATTTCCTCCCAGAATCTGTTTGCAAGCTGCTTCCAGAAGCTCCTCTCAGATCAGCCCCTCATGACAGCTCAGAGTCTCCGGTAGCAGATTTTCCCTCCAGCAAATTTCTCAATCCTGGAACAAACGGCTCCAGCTAGCGAGAACAAAAGAAAATAATGACTTTCTCTGACCCGACTGCTTGTAATTTACGATCAACGGCTGATGGAATCTAACCCTCGTTTATGTTTTTGGCCGATAGAGCTCAAACTGGTTGCTTAGCATAAAAATAGCACCAGTTGTGGTTCAGGAGTTCCCCATAAATCCTCCGTCGGTGGCAGTATTTTATATCTACGAATGCTTAAGGTGGCGGCATATTTATTTTCACCTGACCCGGGGACTCTTTAACGACTTCTTCATTTCAGTTCTGTCAAAGCAAACAACAGGGGCAGATGTTTTGTAATGAGAGATGTCTCATGTCTCAGCCCTTGAACGCCAGTTGACGACAACTACAAGTTGAGGCTCGAATCAACTTCAAATAACGCTGTACTTCCCCTCTCTCCTTCTCCTACAAATACTTCTGTACCTCTACTTTCCACCCTTGCTGTCACCTCCTGCCTCGTCTGCCTTCCTTATCCATCTGGATCCTCGTAGGGAAGAGTCGGGTCAGAAGCCCAGCTCCTCAGGAACAGCCAAAGGACACACAGATCTGGATGGTCCTCTTTTCCACCAAAATGGCACCAAAGGAGATGGTGAAGGGGACTTTTTTTTTGTCTTTTTTTAAAAAATGCCCGTTGATGATGTTTTGTCACCTTTGTCTCAGGATTTTAGTGAAAGAAGTTTGTCATATCCCTTCCTGCCTGGTTTCCCAGCAGACTCTGACTCGGACAGCGAGTTGTCGGTGGATGAGCACAGCTCCTCTTACGCCTCCTCCGCCTCCTCTGACAGCGAAGACGACAATTTGGATGTCAAGCCTAAATGGAACAACGAGAGGCCCCTTCACAGCACTCCAAAAGGTATTCATCAGGCCGGTTCCACTGAAAGTTATCAAAATATCACGCGAGGCCAAGAAAAAAAAAAAATTCTATGTAACAGAAATGTGCTATTATGGACATATTATCAGGGAAGGTGAGCGGAGGGACAAAGTGTGGTTGGAAAAAAAAGGGGAACAACTAAACAAGATCATTTGAATATTCTGAGGAACTGAATGTTGGCAGTATTTGTAAATTATATCCATTAAAAATGAAGAAAAGCTTTAAATATGCCTATTTGTAGTAAATCTAAATGAAGTGCATTTTTTTTTAAAACGCTAATGTATGTATTAGCTTTATGAGGATATTCTTATGTAACATCAAACTTCCTCAAATAATACCCTAAGTCATGTTTGTCAAAAGTAACCACAAAAATTAATTTGCCTTATTGAAACATGTCAATTTTGAAAAAAATTCACATTGAGGGGAATTTTTCGGCACTATCGAAATTAGTGTATCTTCAAAACTGCAAGGGAAAACTTTTTACACAGCCGGATGTTACTAATGGCGGAGAAGAAGAAGACGACCGGAAGTCGTAGGAGGATCATGCAATTGTGAAATTATGTTTTTTAGTCGACAATAGCGGAACAGTTTTGCACAAATTTTCAGTGGAAACGCAGTTAGGGAGGTTCGAACGCCACAGAAAGCGGCTGAAACACTAGTCATTACATTTTATGGCTTTCAAAATATATGCAAAATGTACTTTTTCTGAATAATAATCTTTCCTTATAAGTTTTGCCTACACATAAATGATTATGACATCAAACTACAGCATCAAAAACCATCAAAATCTCAGTACAGAGAGAAAACCAACAGATTTTTTTGCTTGTTAAACTTGGCTTCTTTTCTGCATGTCTCTTTTTAGGTGATTCTGTGTCCAACCACGTGAGACCTTACTGGCCAACAGACGGCACCACGGCCAGCGACAGCGAGGACCTGAGTGTGACAGACCGGCTCAGGGTGGAGACCAAGGTCAACGTGGAACTGCATCCGGAAAACAAACTCAACCATGTCGGTGAGCGAGAGAGGGAAGCTCCCCCGGAGAAAGACAAGCCGACGCCCGGCATCGCCAAAGACACGCCTCCTCCCAGCCAACCCATCAGCAACCACCAGCCAGAGCAGAGGAAAGGTAAGGGAAGGAACTGGCCTGTGAAAATTGTAGATGGTTCGACCTGAAACCCCTCTAACCCGATCACTCTCCCTGGTCAGGCATCTTAAAAAACAAGATCAGTTACCCCCCTCCACTGACGGACAAGAATATGAAGAATCGTCTAAGGGAGAAGCTGGGCGACTACAACTCCCTGACCATCACCTCTCCTCCGCCCATCAACAACAACCACACATCGGCGCCGCCTCCGTCGTCTGTCAACATCATAACCCCTACGTCAATACCGACGTCGCAGGCCTCCACCGACGGAGGGGGTCGCCTCGGCAACCACGACCACGGCTCTCTGGTGAAGCCGCCCGTCGCGCCCCGTCCTCAGATTACCGTCGCGCCGCCATCGGGAGGCGTCTACCGGGAGGCCAACGGCGGAGTGGCAATGCACTTAAAGTCGGGGACGGTGAACGGAGGAAACGACTCCGACTCAGAGTAAGAAAAGATGTCGGCATGTGGCAACATGGTTGGACATTGGCATCTTTGCACGAGTTACAAAGCATAAGTAGTAGTAGTAATTATGAAGTTGACACATTCATTGAACTCAGGGAATGAATAATGCTGTAAAAGGCTTCTAATGGAAGTCCTTGCCATTTGCCTTAGCGTAATTTGCCTTTTGCTAACTAAGAGAGAAAACATTAATGGCAGCACCTTGTTTACGTAACCCTGACACTTTCATGTGATGCAATTACAACCACAAGCTTTATTTTCTTGGGATTTTATGAAATGAAGCAGCAGAAAATTGCACATAATCATGATCAAAAAAGTAGTGAACACAGCAAACAAGAATGCATTCACAACAGCTGTGTTTAGTCCACTTTAATTGAACTCCAGCTGGTTTGCATATAGAGTTCGGTGTGGTTGGGGATTTGGACCAAAAAAGCAAACTCTGGTCCGCCAAAAAACCAAGGTATTGGTTCGGATGAAGTGAACTCTGGTGTGGTTTGAATGCAAATATGAATGCAAGCGGACCAGAGACCGCTCCATAACCAAGAAGCGGATTTCAGTGCACGGCATTCTGGGTAAATTCAACCAAAAATAAACGTGCAAGTGAGAAATGGCTCGTGGTCTCTTACAAAAGACAAATCCTACATCTGCTAAAATCTGAAGCCACGCCATTTTTGTTCACTTTTCGCAAAGAAGGAAGTTGCGCTCATGACTTCTTCTGAGGTTTTCGTGTTTCTTGGTGCAGCGCCACCACAGGCGAGAGGGTGAACAGGTTTCTGCGAGTTAAAAAACAAACACCGGGCAAACTGTAAAACCATGACGATCATGTTCCTTCCACTTCAGTCTCCCATTGCGTCCTCTATCACATGAAATCCTAGAAAATTGTCAAAACTTGTGGTTGTAATCTAACAAAATGGCACCGTATAGCATGAAATGATGCACCCATCCTGCTCAATCACTGCAACTCCTGCATCCCTGCATCCATTTTCACCTCGCATGTTCTCCTCTCCTCTCTCCCTGCACACTTCCTCCCTGCATCCCTCCCCTGTTCCCCCCACCAACCTTTTCCCTCCTTCACCAGTGGCAGTAACGAGACTTCAATCTGACCCGTCAGGCAATTCCAGACCAGCCCACCCTTGTGAGAGGAGGAGCCAGTCAGTGGGGAAGAGAAGAAAAAAAACGAAAGTGAGATGAACACGGAGGGGGTAGAACTTTGGGTAAAGGTCCATACCCCCATCCCCCCGTCATGTTGTAGCGAGCAGTATTAACGGCAGACTTTAGGTCTACCTGGGACGGCAGAGGCAAGGATGCGAGAAAGAATAAAGGGAATGCTTCACCGGAGACACGTGTGCCAAAAACGACTAAAAAGAAGGCCTTACGACGAGCAGAAGACTCTCCAGGACAGCTTCAATCTGGCTGAGAACGTCTGATAAATGATCTTCAGCTGGTACATGTGTAGTCTGAAAAGGATTTCAAAGACTTCAGCCTCTTCAAGCGTCACAAACAGACCGCGAAGTCCATGGGCAGAGGACGAGCGCACCGAGAACTGTTTTTATTTCGGTGCGGTGTATTTAGAGTGTAATTATTGTGTAGATATTGTTTGTTTTTTTTAAGTGAAGAAGAAATAATGTATTTTCTATTTCAGCTGAAGCAGAGAACAAGTTTGTAAACTAAAAAAAAAGACAAAAAAATGCCTTGAAAAATATTGGGAAGACTGTTTGATTGTGCCTTTATTTAGGACAGAGGCCTTATTCACGCACGCCTTATAGGCTTTCATGGTGTAGCAAGAAGTAGCCTGGCCGAGAAAGCAGTGGAGAAATATTTGTATTATTTGTGTTTTTTTTACAACGAAGCAGAAATCTGCCATTTGTTGGGACCTTCCCCGTTTGATTGATGACGATACACGCTCCTCGTTACCAAAGTTACTAATCGCGGTAACAAAACATCATTAAGGATGCCGTCGCTTAGGTTTTCGTCCATTTCATTCCAAAAAGAAATCAAATCTTTTTATATGCATCATCTTAAAAAAAAAAAAAAAAAGTTTTCTGAGAACTAGTGGCCTTCATTTGCAGCAGATCCGACATGCAGCAACCATCCCAGATACGGGAATTGATGTGGCGGCTACTCTACCTCTACACCACGCACCGCCTCTTATTCATCAACTTTTAACCAATTGGGTTTTTTTTTTGTTTTTGTTTTCTCAAAATAAAGCGACCGAATCTAAACGTATTTTGCAGCTAAACACGGGGCGACGTCCAGCCAGTTTACCGCTCCCACTGTTTTCACACTGCTGTCATCCTTTTGCTTTTGTATGATCTTAAACACTGGAGATTGTTTTGTAAAAATGATGTATATTTATTTTTTCATGTTTTTAAACACTGGAGGAAAAAAAGAACACCAACAACAACAGATGATTGTGATTGTCAAATTAAAAAACGTCCTTACCAATTTTGAGGTCTCTTGTTCCTGCTCTGTCGGGTGGAATGAAACGTGGCCGCCGCTGTGAATAGGAACGGAGGTAAACATGAGCAAATTTTGGCGAAAGACCTTGACTGCCTTTACCTCTCAGCTGTTGGGATGAATCAGAGGACAAACTCTGAATACGTCTTCTCTTCCCACGTCAGTGTCTGACCTCAATAATATACATTCGGAAGAAATACTCCTAAACCTTATGGAAAACGTTCCCATAAGGTTACAGTTGAATGTGTTTAAATTGTAGAACATTTCTCCAAAGATCTTGGATCTTTATTATTATTATTTGCTTCAGATGTATGTACACCTACGTGTAATACACAAACAAGCACTATCTTCTACGGTTTGGTTCAGCTCAATTGTCATGTATTTGATAGTTTCCGTGAAAAGGTCTCGTCAAAGTTGCCTCCATAAACTCTTGGACGGCTCACTGCTTGCTAAATAATTGCGAGAGCAAGCCGAGTGAAACGTTAGACGGCAGAATCCAATTTCACCAGTCGGCTGGGAGGTTAGTTGTTACGCCAGCTGGAGTCGGTCTTGAGCTGAGCCGCTTCGCCAAAACGTGCGGCTCGGTTCGCTGTAACGTCCTTACAACGCAGCCGTTCGCGCATAGTTAGGCAATGGCGGCATTCTGTGACCGTAATGAACGTCTTGAACATTCAGAAACTCTCCGAAATGTTCGGCGTGGCTGCTATCAAACGGACACTGATGGGTTTTTTCCCCCTCTTTATCTCTGTCGCGGTCAAAACAAGCTAAATTATTCACGTGCGCCAGAGCGACTGACGTCTAGGTAGACCTGTGGTCCAGAGCGAGAGCGCGCGAGGACGGCGGTTTACTGGTGCAACGCTGCCCTCTACTGGCAGGAAAACGCCAGTTTATTTGACAGTTGCCGTACAGAAAAACTGGGAGAACAAATAAAATAAAATAAAGACATAGAAATAATTCCTACTGGGAAGTGAACCGCTGACTTACATCCACACTGTTTGGTTCACCTCTTTTTCCCAATGTCAGCTGTAAAAGTTCTTGTTTGATGAGAGGCTTTTATAGGCTAAGACAATTGCAGACTTAGTTTTGTTTACACTTAATGTAATTATTATTATTATTATTTTAAAAAAGGGTAATTTTTGGACCAGAAAATCAATTCTTAAAGGCGGTGGTGGTTAATGCATGGCTGACCCCCTCCCAAGAAATGTGTTATATATGTTTTTCTTGCATATCTATATTTTTGTTAAATTTGTCACTGTGTCATAACTGTGTAGTATGAGACAGATACTCTCTCAGTGCTAACTACAGATTGGTCGCCAATTGGGCAGAAACAATTTTTCCACCTTATGCTTGTTTTAACCTCTTTTCCGATGCCACCCTGGGCAACAAATACTGTCGCTGTTTAAAAGATGTGTTTCAGCAAATTTCATCAACCATTGTGCAAACTTTTACCCTCCTTATCTAAATCTGGAAAGTCAGTAGTGAGGAAAACTTTCAAATTAATGATTATGTAACTTTGAAGTCTGTCTCTTAGTCTTGGGCTACGAAACTGAGTTGGCACCCGGGTGGAACTTGCTCATTACTGGCAGTAGGTTGGCGTTCCGCTGGCGGACAACAGCCTTGTGGCAAGTACTGACTTCCGTATCAGAAAAGCATCAAGAATATTCTTTAATTAACCACCCTTCTGTTTATTCCATATGGGAAATCATCGGCTTGGATTCTGGCCTATTTTGCTGATGGCATCACAAGGTAACAATTATTCAAAGATTGTTACAGTTTTTGAATTGGGTGCTGAGGAAATCCTGTCAAGTTACTGTTCAGTAAAAGTCACTAATGCCAGAAAGATTAAAAGACAACAATGAGTTGTTATTAAGGAAAATTTGCCCGTATGTTTTCTATCCAGGTATTTGCCAGATGTTTTGAATCCAGGGGAATCTTCACAGAAAACAAGAAAATAATTGTGATTTTTAAGATTATATTATTTGAGAGGTTTTTAATTGATCTTCAATATACCATATAGCCATAAAAAAGAAGTCCAAAAATGTTAAAGTTACTTACCCAATTGTGCCAAAACTTTAGGCCATGACAGTAGATTGTTCATCTAACGAAAGTACAACACCTATTCCAGATAGGGTTAGAAATACTGATTACATTTTATAGGACCTAACAAAAGGTTCAGGTAGTTCCTTTGATTATTTCATTCCGAAAAGGCAAAGATCTGTAGACATGAGATTATAGCTCTCCTGTTCACACCTATAGTTTCTGTCAAACATCCAGTATGTATCATCCTGTCTTGTCAGGGTGCAAATAAGCAGTTTTCAATGCTAAGTAGAATCTTGGTGAGAAACCCTTGACTTCTATGGACCTTCTTGTTAATTTTCAAACTGAAACTTTTCAGCTTCTCAGCAAATGGTTAAGAAAGGTCTCCTTTTTGCGGTAGAAATCTTATGGAATAACGCAAAAAAAAAAAAAAAAACGGCAGAAGTCCAGGCGAGATGTTTTCACTCCCCCTTTTCATTAAAAGGGCAACAGCAAATCTTGATTAATCAAACCATTTGTACCTTGTTTACAAGCCATGACTGACTTCATCCAGACATGTTTTTTTTGGAGCGTCTCGCAGGTCTGCAATCCAGGAATGGTTGTACATCAACAAGTTGGCAAGACAAGACGTGACTAATTTGGGTTGATCAAGTCAAAGTAGATGTGGAAATCGGTTTATTTGAAACTTCTGCTTTATGGTGAACCCGAATTTTGCTTCAACTTCAGCCAGTTGGGTGTCTCCTCTTACCTTTAAAGTACCACTTCCCAATTCTGTCTGTCCTGACTTGTGCAACATGCGTAATGTTGCCGGGAAAGTAAGCAGTAGTAGCTTTCAAATAATCAAAGCTCCAAAACCGGCATAAAAAAGAAATCCACCCCTACAGTGTTGGTTTCGGCAATCCTCGACATATCACAGATTTCTCTTCTTGCTTTTTATACTTTTTAATCAAGAGCACATTTAGACATGTTAGCATTTTACCAACCATCTTATCAATGTGGGATTTTCGTTATATTTCCACATTTCCCTCTTCCGCCAACTGTTCTATAATTGACTCGGGAGGCTCTGGCAGTTGCGTAAGACTTGTGTGGTTGTGCAAGCTGCTGGAAAATGTGCCGGTTTTGGATTAAGAGCTTTATTACAGAGTTTGTAAATGAGCACAGAGGGAGGATTTGGGAAAACCTCAGCAGCAGTAGTAGTTTCTCTCTTCGTGTGTATGTGTGTGTGTGTGTGTGTGTGTGTGTGTGTGTGTGTGTGTGTGTGTGTTAGAACGAATAGTGGAAATCCAAACTAGATGCATTAGCACCCCCCGTTTGGTGTATTTACTGATCATGACTAGGATTGTAACCGCTAAAGAGCTCCTGAAAAGCACAAAATCAGGAGACAGTCGGAATTTAGTCAGTTTTTAAGAAAGTGACATGTTAAAACAAGGGTGGTTTGGGTGATTATATTGAGTTTTGACGAGGGTCCATAACAAGAATTCATGTCTGATTCCATAGGGAGCGAAATACTTAAGAGATGTCGGATTGGCTATCTACGAGAAATAAATCCAAGATAATCTCGACTGAGGATTGGGAATTATCTCAGTGTTTACTCTCAAGATCATCTCATCTGGCTTTTTGCATTCATTTCCAAACAAACTGAATAGATTGTTTTAGCAAAATGAAAGAAATATTTGGAAAATAACAAGATTATCATAACATTTAAAATAGGATTCGCTTTCTTGTAGCAATATCGCTATGCTTCGAAAATTTGTCTGCACACAAATGTGGGACTAATCTCGACGTGCACTATCCCTCGAGCTGTCAGCCGACCAAAACGCTTTAAATGAAAAAGTGAGCAGTATCGAATAAGAATGTTTGTTTTTTCTGTGATGTGTAGGCTGACTTTCAGTGTGTTTAAAGTTTTAGAGCAGTCGTTGCAGGAGAACCCAGCGATAACTCAAGATTGCACAGGACTCGGGTGATCCTTACCGAGCTCAGTGATAGTCTTACAGCAGACGCGGAAAGTGCTTGTGCTTACCTTCTCCTAATCTGTAGTCTCATCTCAGGGGTCAGGGGTCGGTTGACTACTGTTTCTCCTCCTCCGACTCGTCCCTCTGTCAGAGCACCGGGTCTTGCTTGCTCGGTTGGCCTCAAAAACAGGCTGATTTGTGCTTTTTCTGAGAACCACGACGCATTACACTAGCGGTAAGACGTCTACCTTGGATTCTGCCGCATGAAGAACACGCGGAAGATCGCACAGCGTGGCGTAACCAATACGCAAAGGTTGGTATAACAAAGAATGGTGGGGGAAAAAGGGAATTTGGCTTCATTCATAGCCTGCATGGTGGCAAGGTTTGAATTTGGTTGTATAAAGTAAGTTGAATGAAAGTAATGTAAAAGTCCTGCTATTGGATTACTGTAAATAGGAATAATTAATCTCGGGCAATTTGGTTTGAGGTTTTAAGAGAATAACTGGCTATTTATGTTCTTCAGTCTCGAAAAGGGCATTTGAATTTTATACCAACATGAAATTATTATTGAAAAAGCCTTCCAAGTTATTGTATTCTCCTAGGATACAAATGTAAAACTGTACATTTTGTATCATACACATAGTATATATGTTGGATTAGTATTCGTTTTGGTCAGAGGGACTACAGATGAAAACAAGGCTACTTGGGCTCAAGTAAATTTACATTTAATCCATTTGTTGGGTCCAGAGGCGGTTCTAACCCGTTTGGTGCCCTGGGTGCTTTTGGGATCATTATAATACAAAATGGAAAGCAAAGAAAGAAAAGAAAACAACAGCTTTGTATCATACCCAGAATAGGTTTGTAGCCTGCAGTAGTAGATGGACCCACTTTCTCCATTACGAATCAATTAAAGACTATTTTAATCTTTAATTGATTAATCCTTCTAAAACTTTACAAGTGTGCAGTGGTTCTGACTAGTATTTTTTATTTTCTTACCTTTTTACACATTGTGTTTTTTGTTTGCCCCAATCTAAGGTAGTTCTAATGCCAAATTATTTTTTAAAAATACTGTTTTATATGTATTTAACACTATAAATACATAAGTATGGAAGACTAACAAGGGACCTGACACCAAAAACATATCTTCAGGTAATCATCATAGTAATTACGTGTTTTTTTAAATCAATCAAATTTTATTTGTATCGCACATTTCAGCAGCAAGGCATTTCAAAGTGCTTTACATCATAAACACAAAAACACAAAGTCATGCATCATGGAATAAACAATACATTGTTACATATTACATTTCAAATACACAAATATACTCGAAATCACTTTCGAGTGTTTGAATGCAGTCCCCTGCTTAACCACCTGTTTTATGACAGTAGCGACCACAAGGTGGTGCTAAAGAGAGCTAACGCTGCTCACGTCCTGCCGTCTCCGAAACGCCCGTAAATAAACCGCGGCCCCTTTAAGAAAACGGCACTGACGATATTTCCTCGGCCCAGCTCCCCGCTTGTTTCTGTGATATCGACCAGAAAGAGCAGGGGCACGGCTAGTCTCTGAAAGCAGCGGGTCTTAACGGTGCACCCCGCGCAGGAGAAGGGCGCAACTGGTATTTCTGGGGGGGGAAAGAAATTGAAGTATTTCTTCCGTTTTTAATGACCAAGCCTGTCCGTCTAACCGCAACGAGCTGAGGAGGATACGGTCCTTTGGACGGTGCTGAGCGGAGAGCGCGGCGGACATTGCAGGGATGGAGGGACCGAGAAAGCAGTCGACGTCGTGAGGCTGAGAGACAGACGCCAATTTGGAGCAGCAGCAGGTGTACGGAAGGATAAAAGCAGAACCGGAGGGAATCTCAGTGTTCATGAAACTTTGCTACGATTTACGTGCTGGGTAAGGAAATGTATTTTACCTCTCTGCGACACTACAGCCAAAAAAACAACAACCATATAAATATATATATATTTAAATGTGACTATCCGAATGTTTGTGTTATATCGCCTCTTCAAAATAAAAACAATTCTCCCGTGTAGTCGAATAACAATAAAAACAGTGAGCAATTAACTGCGGGCCTAACTTCAAATTCGTGTTGAGTTCATTTGGTCGCCTCAACAGCTAAGAAAACAGACGTTACTTCCTTCCCACAGTGCAGGTATATCGGACGAGCTAACGCCGTTAGCCGCTGCCCTCCAGGGACAACTTAACGGGTCCACCAGGCACAGGTCCAGGGGTCCATGGCGTCTTAAGCCTTCAGTCGACGTAAAAGTCAATTCTGTCACTTAAACAGTTCCTGACAAAAGTTCTGCTACCTTTAACATCCTGTCAGCTACTAGCTTCATTGTTATTTATTGATAAAATGACACAACGTGGCTAATTATTCCTTTTGACGCTGTGTTTTTTGGTTTCCGCCCCCCCCCCACCCCGGAAGCCACCTGTGTTGTTTCATTTCAGCATAAATGCAACCGTTGATGGAAAGCCACGAAGTCCAGTTTTCCCTGTGTGCCATTCAGGGAGCTCTGAAAACACGTGGAAGAATCACCTTGAATACACTGTGGTGGCAGCATCATGCTGTGTGGTGGCAGCATCATGCTGTGTGGTGGCAGCATCATGCTTTCCCCCGTCAAAAACGATGGGGGAAAATGGCCAGATGTCAGAAGTAGCTCAGTTCAGGGAAGACCTGTTGGTGGATCCAAAAGATTCAGCCAGGCTCAGTACAAATAAGTAAAATATTAAAATTTTTGGCTGGTAAGAAGCCCAAAAATAAAGTGCATTGCGCCCTTTTTTTTTTTTTTTGTAAGACCATACAGAGGCAGACCTATAAAAACCAAACAAGGTGGTTCGGCCTCTTAATCTTTTCACTTGTGCTCTTGTTTCCTGTAACGCCTGCTCTTGCCCTATCATATGCAGTGTTGCATTTCATAGGGCACGACCTACACAATTATCCTCATGATGCTGCGGCCTCTGCCACCTCTTCTGAAGCGAGCCTTTCAAGGAAACGCATACAAACGCAAATGTATCAGACATCTACTCAAGCTGAACAATAGCAAGGTGATTAACAGGTGGATTATATTTAGAGAAAAGATACAAGAGATGAGACTTAAAAGCCTCTTCATTGCGTGTGATCTTTTCTTATGATTCAAAGCAGCAGTTGAGTAATGCAATTTCCTTTTACTGGCAGGTGTTGAAGTGTTTACCCTTTTTTTTGTAATAAACTGATTTGTCACATGAACAGAAAAACATAAGAGAGAAAATACCTTTTGTAACTCGCACCTTCAAAGTCTACATGAATTTTAAGCTGCAGGAATTTTATACAAGTGGAGATTGAAGTCTTAAAATAAGATAATTGCAGTAACATAATTGCACTGTAGATGAAAAATAAGATTTCATTTCATTTTATTTCAGTGTTAAGGAATTACTGGTTTTAGCAAAGTGGCAGATCAGATGCTGGAACTTATTTGTCAGTAGCTGCATTTCCATTACAAATGTACGTGAAACTTTTTTGATATTTCCCTGAAAAAACCCTCAAATTTGTAAAATTGCGACGGTTCCATTAAATCAGAAATGCAATTGAAATCCCACGCGAAAAGCTTGTCCACGTGATAAGTTGATAAAAGAACATGGCGGCAGATGTATAAGCTTACATATTCATATTTCACACACAGAACTAGCGCTCATCATCAGAGGAGTCGTCAACGTTTTCAGCTGTTGGAGCAACAATTCTGTTATATTTGGACCGGCTACGTATACATGTAGCGATTTTTGGCAAAATTGTCTAAAGCAATTTTTACAGAAGCACTATTGATTCAAAACTTTCAAATGGCAAACTGTGAGCCCTCTAGTGGTGTAAAAACAAACTAGCCTGAGGCAAAAAAAAAAAAAAATTATTGCACTTTTGCAAAATACATGTATTTCTTTACGAAGGGTTTCTCTCAGTGTATTATAAGCCTGGCGGGCCACCAGGCTTTACTTGAGCCACTACCAGGCTTATCATTGGTAATTTATCTTGGGTGTTTTTGAAATTGCCTTTTTTTTTTTTACCAACACTTTGTAGTTGGTGTTTAGGTATTAATCTTCCAGTCATCCAAAAATGCATAAGTATCAACATTTTGAAATTTTCTGTCAACCTTAAACATTTTTGTACTCAAAAACATGGCTGCCAGCTGGATGACTGTCCTAGCGCGCTGAGCAACGGGCTTAGCAAGTTTTTTTTTTGGGGGGGAAACCCTGTTTACACCTCAAAACCACCTCATCCTTGTGCAAAAAAACATTTTAGCGAAAAACATGAATGTTTTCTGTGAAGTTAGTTTATTTTCTAAATTACATTTTCTGCAATTTTATGGTCAGCCAGTGTTTCAGTAAGGATGCTGGCAGCCGATGCTACAGGAACTGTCAGTAAGGGAAAAAGTTTTTAAAGGTAGCCAACACTGTGCACTTCCTACAAATTGGTAAGGACGAAAAGAGACTGGGTTCATATACAAAACCTATGCAAACGTGCAGCGAGGGGAACAGAGCCACACATTATGTTTATGTAAACTGACAGTGTGACTGTGGTTGCCTCCACTTTGCAAGTCTTAGTTCACACAGCTACTGCCAGGAACCAGGATTACGACTGAAACAAGAAGTGTTAGTGTTATCATATTGTCCTTGGTTGTGTTTACTCCAGCATTAAAACCACCAAGCGAAGTTTCTGATCAGTAAGGTCAAAAGAAAACTAAATGCCCATTACTGTTTACCTTCTGTTCCAGAGTCACCTTACGCAAGAGTTCAAATTTGATTACTTTTTGATTTAAGTCGATCACCGGTTTCACGAGTGGCCAGATGGGCCGATTGGCGAGGATCTATCGATTGTTTATGTAACAGCGCAGTGAGATAATAGCAGCAGGATGAAGCTGTGTGTGCAGAGCAAGGACAGGAGTGGAAGGGACCGGTCTGCTGTCCTTCGTCTTCCTCTTCCTGTCGCCGCGGGAGAAGTATTATGATATTTCTCCTGCGGGGACATCCAGGCGATGATCGTGACCGTGTGGGAGTCGCTCCTACTTCAGCAGCTCTGCCTGCCTGTGCACCGATGCTGAGCTGCTGGAGTGATGTCATCCTTGTGCACGAGATCGCAACTCTGAAAAGGGGTTTAAGAAAACAAAAGATGGGCAAATGTCCCGTCGTTTTTGTGTTTGAGCAGCCATCTGCACTCTTTGCCCAGAGGTTTACATTAATATATTGTAGGAAAGCTGAAGTATTCACCTTGATCATGCCATTAATACTGCTTCAAAATGAGTTTTTCCCGTCTTTGTGACCCTGGGTCAACCTCCTAATGCCTTTTATAAAAACCAGGGTTCTCACTCAGTTTGGAAAGCTTATGACTTCCAGATCTGGATAAATGTGGTGAAAAGATGGCGCAGGAGGACTTTATTTTATCCGTTTTGCTCATTAATGTTATCAATGGACCCATCAGTTTGTTCACATCTCATCTGTCCATCCCTCCATCAAATTGTTTCTCCAGTTTTGTCCTCCCATTCAGTCTTCTGTCCATTCATCAAGCTATCTGTTTCTGTCAATTATTTTGATTTTCTGTCTATCTGTTGATCATTTCAAACATCTGTCTGTCATAAAATCAACTTGAACTTTTTTTTTTTCTTTTCTTTTTTTAAATAGTTACAGCTTGAGAACTCTGGAAAGTTTGAAAATGTAGAACTCATATTCTCATTAAAACCAAGAAAATGGAAGACATCACAGCAGAGCCATTTAAAAAGTCATTCTTTTCTAGCACTAAAATACATAACCTTGTTAAATGCTTGTTTTTGATAATTTACTGTAAATTACTCTATTGTGTTTTTATGGTGTAATTCTAACACTTCGAGGTGCCTTGCTGCTGAAATGACTCAAAATTTAACACCAAAAATTTTTACAGGGAACTTTCAAGAAGAAACTCACAATTTGAATCACATTTTGACATTTTTGATTTGACACGACAGAATATCACTTGCTTCATATTTGTGCTCTCCCACAAGCAGCATACTTTATCTCAGTTATTAATCAGCGTGACAACAGCCATTTTATTTCTCCCTCTGACCATCTGTTACAACTTTCTAGCTTTTTTATTTTATTTTTTTATTATTATAAGTGAACCAAACAACATTTCATGCCCAGCCTGGCAGCTGAGGTATTTAAAGGTCATGCTAATCCCTCTGTGTGCCTGAGTATCTTATGAAACCGGGCTAAAGTTGAGCGCGGTTCCACAGACGAGTGTCTCAATGTGACACTGCCTGTATCGTTTAGAGACCCACCGTCCCGGACCAAGACGAAAAATGATTGGTATGATGACATAAGTTGATATCTGGAAGTGGAAACTGTGTCGTTTAGCAGAGCAGAAGCGCTGTTTTGATGAACAGGAACTTATTATAGATGAGTGCCTAATGTCCTGGAAAACACCCGCTTTCACAGAAGGGCTGCTGGTTCACTGGCTTCACTTTCACTTTTTCTCTTGCATGCAGAGTTTATTGACAACCACGACAACGGGGCTGTTATGGTTGGATATAGCATTGCATCCTTTTTTCATATACAAGCAAAAGTTTTGTCTGACACGTGAAAATGGTTTGCTCTAAAGGTTAATGTTGATATCCAGCTGGGAAAAAGTTTTTTTTTTTTTTGTCTTAAACAACAAGAAACTTAATGTTTTAAATGTTGAAAAATGTAAAAGAAATAGAATATTTTGGGGAAGTGCTGTAGAAGTAATCAACCAAGGCCACAAAGCAGTAAAAGTCATCCTTACATAATTATTTAGAAATTGTAAGTCAAAGGAAAAGTGTCCGTTCTCTTATGAGCTGCAGAATCAGGATGTGAATATAATGGGTCTTATAAAAAATGCATTGGTCCTGATCCTGAGATGGATGGAGAGCCGAAAATGTAATCTTGGCTTCGTGTTCGTGAGAGTGGAGCTGAAGTCGTATTTTATTTAATATACTGTATAGGATTGAAATGAACTTTCATCTGTCTGACTTTTACCACATATACAAAGGTTAGTCACTTAGTTTCCTCATTTTGAAACTGAGTTTCTTTCCACGGTGAACAGAGTGGTTTATCAACACTAAAAGCAACAAATGTCTCCGTTTAGAGCAACCATAAAATTTAAAATGTTACATCATGACTGTTCGGGTCAGTCTTTTCTTTGCTACCTTCAGATCTTGTGCACAAACATTTAGTTGGTAACTTCTGATTTTATATCAGAAGTCGTGGATGTACATGTTCTATTTACCGTATTGGACTATAAGCCATTACTTTTATTATGGACATTTCTTGGTACATTTTAGATATTGATCAGATTTGTCCACTATGATTTCTCTAGATTCTAAAATTTTCGAATGCTTCTTCTAAAAGGCTGCAAACATTTTCATATTCAACTTTTTCAATCATATAAGGATGAAACGGAGCAACTCGGCTGTATTATGTCAAAATGTTTACAGTCCTGCACTGACTGTAAACATTTTGCTTAAACTATGACTAAGAAGCATTAATCGCGGGTCAGCAAGCCAGGGCTCAGTGACCGTCTTGTGATCGGCTGTAGTAGCGATTGTGACCGAGAGTAACCTCAAGCTTCAGGGTTTATTAACGGAAGATTACTTCTGAGACACACACATCTCCACTCTGCTGCACGACATTAAGCTTGTATCAGTGATGCAGAGGGAGCTTGTACCACTATTCAACCCTGACTAATGATCACAAATACAAACATTACCAGCTCACACTTGTTTTTAGTTTCCCCCCACCCCTACTTTTTTTGACGTGCTCATTTGTTGGTATATTTTCTAAGCACGTCGTCATTTCTGTGTAAGCGGCACCGACTTAACGATGAGGTGAAGGTGTTTGGAAAAGGTTTTTGTGTTTGCACTTAGTGAAGCAAATGACTCATGAGGGCTGTTTATTTGCTCGCATTCAGTGATCAGACCTTGAGCTGAGACCCACTCTTCTTCTTCCTCCTCCTCCTCCTCCTGTCCTCTCCTTACTTTTATTCATGCCTTCTGTTTGGGATATGGTTCTGCAGCACAGAACAAATGTCTGAAAAGAAAATAAATAAATAAATGAGCGAGAGGCGCCCTGAAGGAAAGGAGGGAGTGGAAAACGTGTCATGCTCTAGAAGAATAAATGTTGCGTTTTAATGTAATTCAGTTAAACTACTTTTTAATTTAAGTTATTTTTTTTTATTTGTGTACTTGAGTACAGGTTGCCAGAGCTGGTTTAGTAATGGAAAGAGACGAATGTTATCGTGGGAACGCGTTTAATTTTGACAGGTGTCCTAACAACCACTAGAGAGCCTTTCTTAACCCAACACTCGCTCTTTCCACTCAGCCCCCTGCAAAGGAAACACAAACCCGCCAGTCATCTGTAACTTCTGCATACACGTGGGTGGCGCACGGAAACTTAATATTTGTGTGAAAAATTGTCGAATAGAAACCTCTTCCCACATTTTTTCCCCCCCGACACTTCTTCTTGTTCAATGTCTCTGCTGCTCTGTGCAAGGTCATGTCAGCATTGAAATTCAGCTCTGAAATCATAACGGTTAGTCCTGATTTCACTGTGGTAAATTTATAAATTCGTCTAGAGACTAGAAGCAGAGCAAGTGTGGACACTGAATGTAATTTGTATGATTTCAAACTATTAGCTGACCTGTTCAGGAACTACAAATGGAAACTAGGTTAAGGTTTTATTGTGAGTTTTTGCCTGTTGTCCATGTTGAATAATAAACTTAAAAATTAATTTTCAGCTTATTCAGTGTGTATTTATGAAGCTAAATCGGGGCCATAAAGTTTGCTTCAAAATAACATATTTGAAATAAAAGATTTTCTCTGAAACTGAGAATAACTTTGAATGTGAGAAATTGTTTTGACCTCTCAAATATTGTTTGTTCAGTTTCAGAATTATGTTTTAGTTTCAGCTTTTTTGTTTAAGTTTTATTTTCATTAAATACTTTTTTATGGATCCAATTTAACTCTGTAGGTATTAAAGGCAGTGGGCATCCACCCAAATGGCCAATGTTATTACTTGGATTCAATGCCTACTTCCTTAAATATAAAATGAAATCTGGTTATTAAGGAGGTCAGAAAAAGACTAATATTTTGCAATAAATTCCACACATTTGAACAAGACAGTTCAGCTCTAATATTTGTACCACCATCATACAGCAGCCCTTGGACAAGCCAATTAGTTGAGACTGGAAATGTAAGCTTCTGTAAACATACCTTTTTGTTTGTTTTACAAGATTAATTCTACATTTAATGATTATTTTTCTTTAAATTTTTCTATCGAGTATTGAGCAAACATTCCTGCCTTGGCTCCTCTGCATGTAAATTAGAAACGCAACAGAGTAGCAGTGTGTTAATCATTGTGCTACTTCCTTTAGTCATAAGTCCTATAATTGGCAACGGACCGAGATCATAGAAGTGGGAGATCAATCATAGTGAAGTAAAATCCTGTGGGAATTCATGGAGTCAAAAAAAAAACCCCTACATGTATAGAAAGGATATTGATGAAGGAAATGGCCCTCAGCACACCTCTGCTTTCTATTGATTTCTTTCTTACAGCTATTTGAAGCTTCCTGCGCAACATAAATATTCAAAACTCAACGAAGAATTCATGATACCTTTAGAAGTACTGCAGTTTTGAGAGTTTTTTCACTTAAAACAGTTTCATTGCTCAGGTCTTCAATTAATTTCAGTTGTTGTCCTTAATCGAAAAAGTTTTCAGTCCTACTAATTTGTTTAAACTATTTTATTGTAGGTTAATAAAGAAAAGCCAAGATATAATGTCTGGCCTCTGTTTTGAAGGTAGCATTATTTTCATTCCAGATCTTTTCTTCAGATATAGCTTTGTCATCTTGTTGTGTGACAGTCCTCAATCAAGCAGATTAAGTAATCTTAAAGGATTATACAAAGAGCAACTCCTAATCCGTCACCGAATCGACAAATCCCATCATTAGGTAAACAACGCGGATGTTTGGACGGCTGCTCATATCGGAGAAAGCATCATATATCTGTTAAGTCACATTAAAGAAAACCAACATTCGTTTTTCATTATTATATTGTCACATTTACAATATGTATGGAAGTGTAATTGTCTTTTGCAACCTAAACGTTTCCTGCGCACGCTCTGTGAGCTTCGTGTCATCAGGCTCCTGATACCAGCGCAGCGTTTTGGCCAAAGCTTTACTTTTGGAAGCTAAATCAATCTGGGGTCATAAAATCCGCTGCAGCCAGAAGAGAAACGAGATGTAATCATCCCACGTTTCAGTCTGGGCTAAAGGGTGAGACCAACCGTTTTAACCCCACGGAGATGAGGTTAAAACCGAAAGAGCATTAAAGGTTACAGCGGTCACTACGTCACCCCGTTGGACCTTTTTAAGTAAAGGTGAAGAGGGCTTCAAAGTGCTTACAGTGATGCTCACTGTGAACTGATGGCATTTGTAGGGTTCCAGTGATTATGGTTTCTGGAAGAGTAGTAATATCCAACCTCAAACTTGAATGTATTTTTATTTGACAGACTATCAAAGCAGTGTAAGGTTTTTCACAGTTGGTTTGATTGGAGGCTATAATGTGTTCTCTGCAGAACATGTTATTGGAGTGAAGGGAAAAATGGCATACATTGATACATTTCGTATCAATGTATTTCCACTTACAAATGATGCACAATTGTGTTCATGTCCCATAAAATACTAAAACATTTGACAATTTTGGTTGTAATGTGAAAATTTTTTTCATAGGGTGCTTATTAGGGGTATGTGATAAAACAATTTAACCAATGAATCTCTGTTTTTTTGGGGGTGTTTTTTTTTTTTTTTTTTTCAGAATTATATTTATTGAATTTTTTATTTATTTATTTTTTTTTGCCTATAGCTTTTTCACATCTTCTATTTTTTTGGACTTTGAATTCAGATAAACTACCACAATGTTTCTTTTTGGTTTTTTTATTTCTTTTTCCAATTTTTTGGGGTAATTTTAAGACATTCTTTTTTTAAATGGCATCTTTACTCTGTTGGTTTTGTGACTATATTATTGTATTTCTTTTCTGGTATAACTGCAGGGATGATTGAAATAAAAAACAATTTTTAAAACAATTTCATTTGCCGTTTATTTTTTTTAGTAAAGAAACCAAGAAAAGCTAATTTTTAAATCACCCACAGGGTTGCCGTCCGCCATGTTAAGGTAAAGCCCAGGTGCGCGGTGTTGACCATGCTAAAGCGCCTGGACAAGATCCGCTTCCGAGGTCCCAGGTCGAGAGACGACTTCCCGGATCTGGGCGAGTCGCCGCCTGCCTCCGACACCGAATGTAACGACGACGTGCCGCCGAAGCCCCGAGCGGCTTCGCGGGACACAGAGGACGTCCTGCGAGACCCTGTGAGTGGTTATTTCCTGTCTTTATAAATTGAAACGTTATGCAATAGTTTGCTTTTTTTCAATTCAGCTGGCTGGGGTCAAAATAAATGCTGTTTTTATTACAATCCATGGGAGTGAAGCTTCTATCCTTTGTAATGGAGCATTTCCTCTCCAGAGGAAAAACATGATCTTTCACCCGAGGGATGTTGTTTTTGTCCCTCAAAGATAAAGAACTAGCATGAGAAGGAAAAGAGGACGAAGAAAAGAGTTCCTCATAATTAAAGCAAAAAGAGAGAGATGAATCTGATCAGGATTAATGGTGGACATGACATCGAGATGGCAATCTGCTTGTGCGCAACAGAGGAAATAGGAGCAGCCGTGATTTGAGATATCAGAGAGCAGGAAGGGGATGGAAAATATAAGAGATGAGATTAAACCAGAGAAAACGGGTGAAGGAGGCATGGAGACTTGAATTTGACGTCAAGAGATTGAACTCCTTGTTGTCCTCTCTTCTTGCATCTAGGTGGGTGGAAGAAACTGTCCCTTCTGGCGACTAAAATTACCAACATTGTCGTCATCGTGTCCTTGCACAGATAGAAAGATGTTCAAATTGAAAGTACTTTATTTTTTATCACTTGCTCACTGGAAGCCAAGGGGATCAGTGTCCTCCTTTTGAAATTATTCACTTTAATTTCAAATGTACCTCATATGGAATATTATCCTGAAAATTTTAATTCACTGAAGGGACTGAAAAGTTTCTAAAATGTTTTCATCCGAAAAAGGAAAAATAAAAACTTAAGATTTTCTAATTTTCCTTCAAGATTCTTTGCTGTGTGTTTTCATATCTACCCCTGAGCCTTTTAACTAGTGTTTTGTTTTTGTCAAGATATGCAGTAATATTTGCCTTTGTAAGCACCAGCCAACCAGGAAGACATCGCCCACATCAGAGCAGTGATGAGTCACGCTCTAAACCCCAAAATAGACGAAGCTGGCTCTCACGTCTGCCGGGACACACACATTCAGACATGCATGTCATTTTACTTAAACATGCCTTAAGGTTTAAAACTATCTGCACCACATGGTTTTGGGAAGAATCAAGTGTGTGTATGTTATGACAAGGTTTTTAGCTGGTGTTCATGCAAACTCACCCACTTTGACTAATGGTCTTTCTGCTGTGACTTTAATGATCACATTAGGCTTGATTTAGAATAATTATACTGGTTAATTAAGGAATAAAACATTCATAGTACAAACTGTACTGTGTTGTTTTTGTTTTTTATTTGCAAGAATGGCATAATGCATCAGGAAAATGCCAGCATCTGTATTTCCAAATAAATGCAATTGCCAGTTGCCTTCAAAAGTCGCCTAATCAGTTAATAGATCGACCAAGACTTTGCTGTCAGCTGAAACTGATTGACAGGGTTGGGTAGACATTAATCAGAGAAGCAATCAACAAGAGTGGAAAGAAGAAATCCCATCTGCAGTTTGCCATGAGAAATGTAGCTCATGGAAGTTGATGTGAATCCAGAGCTCTCCTGGTATAAAGCTGAGTGAGGCTGCAAAGTACTAGCTCACCCTCCAGCAGGAAAAATGCCTAAACCTCTAGGAGTTACAATGGCCTGATAGAATCAAGATAAGTTTGCGGGTTGGAATGGCCCCAACAACGGAAACTCGCAAATTCTGACTGGGCCTGAATACAATTAAAGTAAATATTAAAGTGTCTACAGTTCTTTTTGTCCTCTATTAGTGAGTTGTCACTTCATTCGTTAAAGTTGTTAATGAAGTGTTTATGGAGTTCCAGTGACTTCAAAAAACAAAATGACCTGAACTCGGGCTCCCTATGTGTTCACATACTGACCGTACTATGTTGATGTCTTTGCTACCACAGTTGCTGTTGTACAGGAAACCCTCTAATACACAAACAAACAATGCTTAGCCTTGTTTGTTAGCCTGGTGACCCGCCAGGCTTATAATAAGCTGGCGGAAACCCTGAAAGAGTTGCAGTTTTCAAATGCATACCAAAGAAGAAACTGTTTAAGAATCTTGTGAGACCCAAGAGGACATTTTCTGCCACAAAGTAGGACATGTTCTCTCATTCTGTACGGCAACCATGTGATCCAGAAGAAGACTGATGTTCTTGTTGGGGATATTCCCTCATCCTGGTCGCGGTGGCAACATTCATGTTGAAGATCCAGCTATGTGGATGCTGGGAGAGCTGTTCAGTAAACAGGACATGCCTTCAGAGCAGACTTGGAAGTGGATTAAATCTGCTCGTCGACGCATCTCACTCCCACTCTCATCCTGTCAGAGGCGGGACGAGAGTAAATCTGAGAAACCTCGGAGTGTCCTGAATTCAAAGCAGACTCTTCCGGTTCCCCCGGACTGGCCGCTGGAAATGTTTATTGGAATAATCTGGGGTGACTTCAAGATTTTCCAAATCCAAATTTTGCGTTTGAAAACTAGATATTTTACTATAACACAATTTTACAATATTGATCTCAGTTTTCACTGTGTATTATTTGCATGTCAGTTTTTAAGCAGCATGCTTATATATACACAAACGTGTCCCATCGTATCAAACGAAGAATGATGACGGTCCTGTCAGGCTAATTTCAGCCTCCATCATTAAGAGGAAGAGCGGATAGGCAATAATTGACCCGCCGATGATCATTAGTTGTGACGTCGGCAGCGCTCGACCTACTTGTGCTACCCAGTTGGGGGGAGATCTGATGGCATCAAACATCCTGCAGGTGTGTTTACCATCTGTGGATCTTGTCGTCATGATGCAGAGACCGGCAAACTGAGCCGATAATGCAGCAGAGCTTCCTCCTCCTTTCCCTCATCCTCCTCCATGTTTTCAGCCTCCTGTTTTATTTATGTCTCACACCCTACGATTACTGAAGACGCTCTTGTTTGTTTTTCTGTCAAGTACTTCTTTGTTTAAGGGTGCTCGATCCGTCCTTACGCTAATGTCCCGAGAGTCATCTTTCGTTTTTCGTGCTGCCTCTTCCCTTCTACGTCTCGTTTTTATCAGTTTGAGACGTTGCAGTGCATCTGAACGGGAAAACCGTTCAATCGGTTCCGGCTGCAGTCGGCTATAAGCTGCTGCTGCAGCATTTCCGTGTGAGTGTGCGCGTGTGCGCTTGTGTGTTTGGCAGAAGTCTTAAAGGACCCTCGCTGTAGATGCTCAACCTGCAGTGCTCATCCTCCACTAGCACAGTCATCTCTCTGCTCCTTGCATCACCCGTTCTCCCGACTCTGCCGTTCACTGATTCCACCTTGCCTGCTTGTTGTGTGTGTTATTGTACGTCAGGGTCGAAAACGGTTTGAGTCATCAAACCGTTTTCAACGGTGGGGGGGGAAAGCGGGGGATTCTCCTCTTCCTGGCTCCTGCTGGTCCTAAACCTGGAGAGGAAACATTTGTGAGTCATGGCTCCGCGCTGATCTGAGTGTGTGTGTGTGTGTCGGATCATGTAGGCTTTTCCTGTTCAAGTGCTTAAATTTCTTTAAAATTTTGATTTCACTTATCTTTGACTGCGTGTGTGTGCGCAGGCTGGTTCGGGGTCTCCCACCATGGCAGCTGCCGTTCAGGACTTCCAGAGGTCGGAGTCGGAACGCCTCAGCGAAGTCAAAGGTCACTTGGAAATTGCCTTATTGGAGAAACATTTCTTGCGTGAGTACACACATGCACACACATACACACGTATAGGGCTGCAACTACTTGATTATTCTGTTATTTATTCTGATTAATTGGATTAAAAAAATTGTCCCATTCTACTGATTTTTCATTTAATCACTTATGTGTCTTTATATAATATCAAGAAATATGTTAAAGCTGCAGCAGGTAACTTTTACAAAAAAAAATGTTTGATTGAGGCAAAAAATCAAGCTCTTCTGCCAGGGCTGTCAGTACTAACTATAGAAATAAACTACTCAATCAGAAACAACCAATCAGAGATAGAAAGAATGTCTTAGCGCTGTCAACCATTCGCATGCTCATCCCATACACCTTGGTCTCTGCTTCGCCGTCGCTGGCTCACCTGCCACAAATGCTAAGTCTGGTTAGCATAGCCACCGACAATGGTGGATGAATGGTTTTTCTGTAACAGTGAGTTGTTTCTCTAACATTAGCACAGAGCACCATTGATTGACAGCACCAACCTACCTGTCTCATATTATACTAGCACAATATGATGACAGTGTTGTCAAATATGGAAAAAACATATTTTTGTACAACTTGCATATTGCAGCATTAAAAGATGCAAATAAACAAATAATTCATTTTCCTTTGGGATTAAGAAAATAATATTTCTTTTGCTTAAATCTTTTACCGATATTCAACCAAGTGGAGCTAAAACTTTGACACTTGAGTTAGTGGTAAAACATATTGCAGACAAAGATGTTCTCATTTTAATTGCAAAATGTGTATAAACATACTTTGTGTAGTTTGTGTTTTAATACAATTCTAAGTGGTTTTTTTTGTTGTTGTTTTTTTTTTTTTTTTTAGTAAATAACCTTTTTTTGAATCTGGTTAGCGATTAATTAATTACTTAATAAGTTGACGATTATTTGAATAACTGTTTCATCGTGATTAATCGTTTGAGACCTGCTTCTCTGTGCACGCGTCTTCAGACTTGTGACTTGTGGTTCCTGCGGGCTAAAGCAGGACTGAGCCTCATGTCCAGGTGTCTTATGTAAACCGCAGCAGGAAGACGACTCCATTTGCATGAACGTCTCGGCTCCAGAAGTCTTGCTGACATTACTAGTTCCTCACTTCTCTAAAATCAAAGCAGTGTGACAATGAGCACGTGCGAACGGGTTTTTGTCGGCATCAGCCAGATGAACATTTTTCTGTCTGCTTTAAAGTGGAAGCATCTTGTGTTGTGCTTTGTGATTTGACAGTCACATTGTTCGCACTTCTTCAAGTTGAACAACTGTTACTCAATGTCACAACGCACTGTGATGCTTGCCATCAGTCTCAAGTTCTTGTTCAACCCTGCGATGTGCTAACAAATGAGCGCAAGAGGTCAAATGATCTTCCATGACGCTGTAATCTGATGCTGGTTTGGACTCAGACATCCTGTTTTGGTCGTTGTGTGTTGGCAACCTTGAAATGATTCTGAAAGCAGGCAGCTGCTGGGCCAAGGCTAATCAGTTTACCCATTCTACATTTAATTGTTGGAGATTTTGTGATGCTATCGAGCAGGAACGCACTCTGTGATCCCAAGCACACTCGATCAATCGGTCTTAATTAAAAAGCTATGGAAAAATGTTGGCGGTCTGGAGAAACTGAAGTATGTATGAAGTTTAACATGGAGTATTAAAAGATTAAAGTCATAAAATTACCAGAATAGAGTTGCTCGAGAATAAAGTTGAAATTATATGAAAATAAAGTCTAAAAGAACAAAGTTATTATATTTAGAGAGTAAAGCAATATTATGATAATTTCAGTTGTAAATTAGGGATTGTTGAGCATCTTGTGAAATTATACTTTTATGGTTTTACAAATAAGAAAGTAAGTTATTCTTGTACTACAACTTTATTTTAGTATTATTTTAACTTTACTCTTTTTTTCTTAGCATGGCCTTAATATTCTGTCTTAAAGTCCGACATTGTTCACAAGAAATGTCTGATGCTAACATTGTTTAATTGCTCTAAGCCATTTAGTGGATGCATTTTAAAGGTTTGTGTCAAATTTCTATTCAGCTTTGAGTGTAGTTACATTACGAATTGTGCCATAATCAGATTTTGTTTTGCGTGATTCAAACCTCACATATAGGTTTCTCTGTTGTGCCAGTTTGTTTGGTTTTTTAAATATTTATACGCACACACCATATTTCAATCAAAAGCAATGAAACTACTCCAGTTTATTTGTATTATTATTCAATATTTGTGGGTTTTGAGGTTGGCTTTGCATAATTACTGTGCTGCTGCCAGCCTATTTTTAGTTTCACTTTGACTGCATGAGATTTGCATTCAGCGCAGCAGCTGACAGCACACCAGCTCTGTGACGTCTGGGGAAAAAGCCCTCTGTTATAAAGCCAGCGCTTAGACATATTAAATAATCACAGCTAACTGTATTTTTTTCTTTTTTTTCCCTCCGTCCAGTTGAATGAAAACGTCCCAACTTGCTTTCCTAACACTAAGAGACAATCTTTGGGAATCACCGTTACATCATTCCTCAGTGAAAAACAAATCTGGACGATGATTACAGTGAGCTCTCTGTGCTGTCCAGTAAGAATTGTCCTGCGGTGTGTAATGGGCTGTGAACTGTCCCCGCCCATGTACACACACTTTCCCTTTGTTCCTGTATATCTAATGGAGATAGGAAGAGATGCAGAGGGAGCGTGTGTGTGAATGACAGGGAATACCTCGGGCCATGTCCTCTCTTCTAAAGCCTCTTAGAGAGCTATAAAGTCCAGCTACATTGTTGCACCGCTACATGAGCTCTTCCTAGTTTTTAATTCTTTTTTTACCCTGAACTTTCTTTCTCTCATCCATTAAATAAATCCTCCAACCTTTCTTTTCCTTATATCGTCATTCATCCAAATTGTCCTTGAGTTAAATCGTTCTCCTTTCATTTCCCTCTCGTCAGACGTTTGAAAGAAACGCAATAACTACAACCAAAACCAAAAAATATGTATATATATAAATATACTGGAGCAGAGGTGATGTTACTCATTCGGACTCCATCTTCTCCATCCCTCTCGTTTTTCCCAGTTATCCATTTGTCTTCATCCCCTTTCCCGTCTCCGGGTGACGTAATCGGCACTCACCACCTAATGGGGCCCAGCACTTCCAGCCTTGTGGCCTTGTTGTCTATTTCTACTTGCGTTATGATATTGTAGTCAACCAACATACAATGGAGTACTACTCGGCTCACGCGGTTGTACGTCAGCAAACAGATGCAGACTTAGGCGCTTATATAGCATTTGTCATTAGTGTGAGCTGAAGAGATTAAGTGTGTGAAACAAAACCTTTTAGCGAACAATGTACTTTGTAGTATCTTTTCTGGACTAGTTGCATAGAAGAACAAGTTATAGTTTTTAAGTTTGTTGGAGTACGGCGAGTCTAGAAATATTTTATGAACAGAAACCGCAACCCCCCCTTTTTTTTTTTCTTTTCTTTTTTACCCTTGGTAGGGAATTTAGATTAGTGCCCTAAACACAAACTCTTAATATTGTTTGGATGGTCGGACACAATTTAAATGCATAAATGTTCAGTTTAGAAATGTGCTATATGGGTTTAGTTTTAGCATGATATTTTGTGGTGCTATTCTGATGAGTGTCGACAAAAACAGTTTATTGCTCCTCTTTTAAATAGCCGTTTCAATGAAATGGACATAAATCTTTTGAAAAACAATACCCATTTTTATGCTTCTTTAGTAAACCATCCAATGAAAGGAATTTGTATCACTATACTGTACACAGTACTGCATTTAATCATATTTTTAAATGTGACATTTAAAAATATAAATTACACAAACGGTTGGGAAAATGGTAAAACTATCCATTCTGACATATGGACAACTTGGGGAGATTTAAATGTCATGAAAAAATCATCACAATAAGTCAGTGAAGATGAGATAAATGTCGACCTCTGGTTTAGTTTCTTGCGTGCTGTTAAACGGAAGCTCAATTGAAACTGTTTTTTAGTTTCTTGACACTTCAAACCGACCTTTCGCCCTCTAATCTTGAAATGATGTGAGGCAGATGGGAAGGTGCAGCAGTTTTTCATTTTCAAACCCAGATTTGTCACGTCAATAAATAATTTACCTCTTATTGACCAGTTTTATAACAAAGTATATTTTTTCATGTCTTCATGAGAAATTTCCGCTACAGATGGTCTAGTTGAAGACTCCCTTTGAGATTGTTTTGAAACTACTTGATTTGTGAACATTTTCACTCAAAGAAAAGCTGCCTGAACGCATCATGACTTCTGACAACCTTTTGATGTTACAGTTGCTGCTTTTTTTCCCTGCCTTTGCCTTTCTTCATTTCAGTTTCATGTTCAGTCATTTCTTCACACATACCTTCTGATCTAAATGCAACAAACTGCATGAATTTAAATGGACTTCCTCATTTTATATACCTCTGCTGCTAAGAGCCAACCTTTTCATGTTGGAGGTTTTGCTCAAAATACCAACATCCATACTGAGGAGTGTCAGCAGAACCTTTTGCCTCTACTAGGGTAGAGATTAGGTTTTTCCAATAGGGCTTGCACATGATCAATAAAACATGTAGTTCAGATTTTTTTTCTGAAACTTGAGAGGATGCCATTAATTACAATTAATCTACATGTTATTGATCTCCTTTTTTTTTTTTTACTTTAGTGATTTAGGTGATAAAAAATAAAAAGTACCAAGATTGACTGCTGCAAACACTAATTATCTCTAATAATTATTCAGTTGCTCACATATCAGTAGCAGACCAGCTGGCTTCATTTTTCTTTTTTGTTGACAAACAGGACGGAAATATTAGATTTGAAGGATTTTAGCATTGAGCTAATTTACCGGGCTATATATAGAATCCCTTTGTGCAAATTGCTACGTTAAAGAGCTGAAATGAACCGATCCCCCTGCTGGTGGTGTAATGTCAGAGGGTGGTACCAGTGGAAATCACCTCATGCCGTTATATTAGCCGGCTTAACTTGCTAAGCTTTCATAGCTTCCCA